TGTGTGGCACATGGTGCTGTGTGGGGTTGTGCCACCGTGGCAGTGCCAGGCCAGGCCATGGGGTGCCACGTCTTGCCAGGCCACCTGCCTTGTGCCACATTGTGCCACGTGCCAGGTGCCATGCCATGCTGTGCCACACCACGTGCCACACCAGGCCAGGTCCCATCCCACCCTGTGCCACCATGCCATGCTATGCCACGTGTCCTGGGGAGGACAATGGCACAGCCCGGCCACTGCCGTTCAGACACACACTCTGCCCACAGACACCTGGACACAGGGACATCAGGATATCTGGACACAGGAACACCTGGACACTGGGACATCTGGACATGGGGACACCCAGACACAGGGGCACCACCAGGACACAAGGACACCCAGGCACAGGGGCACCATCAGATTGCAAGGACACCAGGACACTCAGACACAGGGACACCCCCAGGACACCCAGACACAGGGACACCCCCAGGACACTCAGACACAAGAACACCACCAGGACACTCAGACACCAGGACACCACCAGGACACTCAGACACCAGGACACCCAGACACAGGGACACCCCCAGGACACCCAGACACAGAGACACAACTGCTCAGCGGCCCACAGGCCGAGGTCACCACTTTATTTTCTTGTACCACTGCCCACACGTGGGGGTGCCAGGAGCCCTGCTGGGCACGGCCCTTCTCACAGTACCAAAAAATACCAAGAGTCATAAATAAAACCTCGTTACAGTCACAGCTGCACATGATACAAAAAACAAAAGTTACCATAAAAATAGATCTTTATATATTAAAAACCCATCCTTAAATATTTCTTCCCACTTCAGGGATGTATTAAATTAACCTCAAGATTCAATAAATACAAAACCCAGACAAATATTAATGTATAAATTAGTGGGGAGGGGGGTGGGTGCCACCACCCACTGTCACAGTGTGGTGGCTGGGGCTGAGCCCCTGCCCGGCCCAGCTGGAGTTGCAGTGTCCCCAGGGGCTGGGGGACATGAGGGTACAGGGACACTGAGAGCAGAGGGAAAGGCATGAGGCCCCTGGGAACATGAGTGGGGTGCTGAGAGCAGGGGGTCACCCAGAGCGTGGGGTCACCAAGGCTGAGCAGAGGGACACTGCAGAGGGACAAGCTCAGGGACATGAAGAACACGGGGACACTGAGAGCACAGGGATGAAGACAGGGACACTGAGCTTGTAGACACACCAAGAACATGGGGACATGGGGAATGCAGGGACACCTGAGCTTGCAGGGACACCAAGCTCATGGGGACACCGAGCTGCCAGGGACACTGAGCTTGCAGGCTTGTGGTCCCAGACACTCTCTGGGGCAGCCAGCCCAGGGCAGGGAGGCAGGGGTGACAGTGGTGGCAGCGGGTGCTGGGGGAGCTTAGTCAGGCTGGGTCACCCGACCCATTGAATCACTGGAAAATCTGGCAGGGCTCAGGGACACGGGGATGGCTCCGTCCTGCAGCGCTGGGGGACACCTGGGCATGTGGCTCCTGTGGCACCAGGGCTGCCAGGACATGGGGGAGCTGCCAGGGCTGTCCTGCAGCCGAGCAGTGGCACGGGGACAGCTTGGCCCCCATGGCAAGCCAAAGTGATGGGACCTGCTTCCAGCACGCTTGTGTCCTCACCCGTGTGAGCTTAGAAGGTCTCTGTGTTGTGTCCCAGCTGGCCAGAGCATCTCCATCCTGGAGGTGGGATGGAGACGAGGGAGACGATGGAGATGAGATGAAGGTGATGATGGAGGTGGAGATGACAATGGAGATGATGGAGAAGGAGATGAAGATGGAGCTGGGGAAGGCCCTGGTGGCACTAGGAGCGCCTGGGCAGCCGTGAGCCCCGGCGCCCTCGTTGCCTGTCCTGGCGCGCTCGGCGGCTCTTGCCCTCCAGCTGGGAGTTGAGCTTGGCCATGAAGCGGGAGAAGCTCCAGAGGATCTGGCAGCCCTCCAGCTTCTTCTGGAAGACCTTGGCGGGTGCTGCAGGGCTGGGTGGGGGCTGGTGGCCGGGACGGGGGCTGGGGTCTGGAGAGGGCACGTCCAGGTTGTTGAGGAGGCCCCTCACCTTCGGGTGGGTGCTGGCCAAGCGGCGCAGGATTTCGGCGCCGGGCGGGTTGAGGTCGCGCTGGTGCCGGGTGATGTCCTGCAGCACCTGGGCCATGCGGACCATGGTCCCCCGCAGCCCCCGCAGCTCCTGCAGCCCCTGCAGCCCCCTGGGCACTGTCTCTGGTCCCCGCAGCCATTCAGGCGGGTGGTTGTTGCGGCACAAGTGATTGATGGCCAAGCCTTGGTTCTTCTCCTGTGTGTGTGTGTGTAGAGGGAGAGGTCAGAGAAAGGGGGTGCCAGCAGCATGGGAACCCCCCAGCCCAGCCCCGTGTCTCCCCATGGAGGGGACAGGAGCCACCCCGTGCCCCGGGGAAGGGGACTTACATAGAAGGTGAAGAGCTCCTGGGCGTCTTCGGCCATGTGCCTCACCAGTGCCTGGATCTGCTGCGGGGTGGGGGGCCGCCCCCCCTGGCCTGGCACTGCCCAGAGGATGAAGAGCCCTTTGGTGACAGCTGGTGAGGAAAAGGAGAGGGTGATCAGGAGGGGTGACAGGAGCAGTGGTAAGAGCTTGGTCCCATGTGCCCATCACCCTGGCATCAAGCCCGGAGGTGAGACTGGCCGTGTGTCAGGCACACGTGCCCCCCTCCCCATCAAAGCCCCTGGTCCTGCCATGGGGACCATCCAGCCCCTGTGCCAAAAGCCTGCTGGGGACCCGGCAGGGGGGAGGAGGGTGAAGGTGACATCAAGCAGCCCAGCCGTGGTGGTTGCCCCAGCACCTCCCCTTGTCAGCACCAGCCCCCTCAGAGGAGGGGACAGCAGTGACAGTCCTGGATCCAGCCCCTTGGCCACTGTCACCCACAGCAGGGTGGCCTTGGGCGCAGCATCCAGGCCCGGAGCGGTGCAGGACCCACTCCAGCAAACTGACCCTGACCCTCCACCCTCAGTCCCCAGAGTGACCCCCAAAGCCTGTCCCCTCCTGCATCTCCAGGAGCCCACCCAGATGCTCCCCAACCCACCGCAGAGTGCGGGAGGGAACGTCCCCATCCCCCACCAACACCCCTTGGGAGGTGACACCGCCACGGCAAAAGCAGGGACAGCCCCAGTGACACCATCCCCGGTGGCACCACCTTGACCCCCCCCTGCTGCCACCGTGCAGCTCCCCCCGTGGCTCGAGAGGAACCAGAGGGTGGCTGAGGGGGACCCTGAGGGGACACCTACCTACCAGCACCCCCGGGAGCCGCCCGTCGTGCCGCATGGCCGGGACCCGCTGCTCTCGGCGCGCGAGCCACTTCCTTACTGCCGGGGCGATGGGGAAGCTGGGCTTTTAAAGGGCATCCATGTGCCACCACGGGGGGCACCCGCGCCCCAAACCAGCCTGCGAGCGCTGGCCCAGGGCACGGGGAGAGGGCCCAGACAGGCTGGTGGGAGGAAATGATGCTGGGGTTCTGTTCCTCGAGGGAGTCCCAGCGGGTCCACCGAGGAAGTGCGTTGTCCTACGGAGCATCCTGGTGGATCTGGCGGGTCTGGCCCAGGGAGCATCCCAGGATCTGGTTCTACGACCTGGCTTCCCAGGAAAGGGCCACTTGGAGTCCCAGCAGTTGTGCTGCTTGGTACCCAAGTGGCTGGTTGAACCCAAACCAGGCTCAGCTGCCCTGAAATCCAAATGCAATCCAAATGCAGAGGCAGCCGCAGGCACAGGGGTGGTGGCCACACCCACGTCCCATCCCAGGGGGTTTCACATCCCAAGTCCAGCCTTGGGAGCTGAAAATCCAGCCTGGGAAGGAGGAAGGTGGCAGCCTGGGAAGTACGGAGCATCCTCCTGGCCACAGCACTGGGAGAGGTGATGCTCTGTTCATCTGTCTGTCCATTCACAGCTGCCCAAGCCCCTGGGTGACACCTTTGGGTGCTGGCCAAGGGGGGGACACACGGCTCAGCCCCTCTGCCTGCAGAACCCACGGGTGCCCCCGGGGAGGAAACGCAACCGCCCGGTGCCGGGACCTACGTGGGGCCCCGGGGGTTGCCCAAGGGCGGCTGTGGGACCGCGGGTGGCGGAAGCTGGTGTGGGCAGGGGTGCAACACCCCGTGGGAGAACCTCACCACAGAGGCTGGGGCAGCCTTGGCACTGCCAGAGGGACCTGGGCCAGGCCCCTTCCCCAACCCACCGCTCCCCTTTCCCGGCCACCAGAGCCCGGCACCGACCGCGGCTTTTTGGTTTTTTCCACCAGAGTTTTATCGTTTAAAACAAGTTTTATCACCTTTTTCTTTGAGCAGCGTCACCACCCCCCCCCCCCTTGGGTTTTGGCTACCACCAGGAAGTGCCAGCAGGAGCAAGAGGGGGGCAGTTCACACGTTCAGAAGGTTCTGGGCGGGGAACGAGGGGACAGCCCAGAAACAACGTCTCCGCGGGGCGGAA